TTTTTATGTAAAATTTATGTATGATGAAATATAAAACTTTTAAACTGATATTTTCCATTTGACTAGTGCATAGATCCATCATGGGTCTCAGGGATTGAGCTCATGTCAACAAGCTTGGTGGCAGGTGCCTTTACCCAGTGAGCCATCTCACTGGCCACTCTAAAGTCCAATCCAAACTCTACCAAAGCTGAACATTCTTTTCCTCCCAGAAAGTCATTCATGAGAGGTATGGATTTAACTTTTTAAAAAATTGCATTTATTTATTCATGTATATATGTATTATTTTGTGTATGTGTATGTGATCACACAGCACAAAAAGCATATAGAAATTAAAGGACAATTTTCAGAAGCTGATTCTTGCCTCTCATCACTTGGGTCCTAACAATTGAATTCGGGTCATCAGGACTGGTTAGCAAGTATTTTTTTTACCTGATGATCCATCTCATTATCAGGAGAGTTGTGTTTTTGACCTGTTCATGTGCATAGACCCCAGATATTGTAGGTTAATGGGGAACAGTAGTAGACAGAACTGAACTATGAGGAATAAAGTTTGGAAGGTCAAACTGATTAGTAGGTGACCAGTATCCTGGGCCCGGAGAGATGCTAGTTATTTTCTGCAGTCCGTAAGCAGATTAGCTTGGCTGGACCTGAGTAAAATGTACAGGATCTAAGTGAAACTCTGAGAGCTGGGCTATAACTCAGTGTTAGAGAATGCAGTTAGCATAGGCGAAGTTCTGTGTTCACTCCCTAGCATCAGAATCAAATTCTTATACAGGATTCTCCCATGGATCCTATATCCCAAAGGATAGTGCTTCCCAGTAGAAGTGATGGTGCCCTACTTTGGACAGTTGACAATGTCTGGAGACATTTTTGGTTGATACAGTACTTTTAGTGCATAGGCATTTTGTTGAATGGAATCCAAGTATCTTGTTAAACACTCTCCAGTGCACAGAACAGTCCTTCACCATTTTATAACCCCAAGTGGCACTAGCATCTGATATGGGTTAAAGGCAGGGGTTGCCATCTATAGGGGAAAGTCAATGGCAGTTAGCACTCACAGCAAACTTCTTTATTTTTTTTTCAGAAAGGTGATGTGTTATTTTACCTTTTAAGATGAAGAAGAGAGTCTGGAGAGATAATTCAATGGTTAAGAGCATGTACTGCTATTACAGAAGCCCCTAGCTTAACTCCCAGTACCCACACTGGGTGGTTCACAAGCACATACAACTCCTGTTCCAGAGAGATTTGAAGCTTACTTTTGTGGACACGTGTATTCATCAGCAAATATCCTCTTCCATACACATTATTTTTAAAAATTTTAAAAGGTCAAGAAAGAGGAACAATAATTCGTTATTGAATAAAACAAATGCAAGCAGGTATGGTGGTGCATGCATTTAATCCCAGCACTCGGGAGGCAGAGGCAGAGGCAGGCAGATGTCTGTGAGTTTGAATCTAACCTCCTGGTCTACACAGTGGACCAGTGCCAGGCCAGCCAGGATTATATGGTAAAACCATGACTCAAAACAAACAACCTCTCCCCTGAAGAAAAAAAAAAAACAAAAACACACACACAAAAAAAAACACGCACACTTCCATTTTGGGTATAATTTTGGGTAGAGATGCAGGCAGAGGCAGCAGACTGCTCATGACTAGAAATGGGCATATTATTGTACAAAGGGCATTTTAGGGAAACCGTTGGGGGCTATCTGGATTCCTGGATCTGTAATTTAAGGACGGGGAGAGGGGGGAAGGGGGAACGGAAGAAGAAGAAGAGGCATTTACAAATTCCCCACTTGGCTCTGATCCCGAGGCTTCAGTTCTTACAGACTATTCAGGACAGTGATGACATCAGCTACAGCAGTGTGACTTCACTTTACAAATTCCCAGCAGAGGTTAAATCAGAGAGCAACTTCCCAGCTGTTTCGCAGAGCATGGTCTTTGCAGGCCCCACTGCTGTGTCATCCCAGGAGTCTGACTGAACTGTGAGTCACCAGAGGTGATGGGGGCGGAGGCTTGGAAGTGATTATCGCTCCCATTGGATAAGAGAGTAAACTGAAGTAGCTGAGAGGCTTTGTAACTTACCTGGGACCATAGAACTTGTAGGGCGGTGACCCGGGATTTGAGCTAGGAAGTCTAACTTGAAAGTACTTAAACGCTATACCCTTCCTTTGACATGTCGGGTGTGTCAACATCATTGAAGTGTAACCTAAAGCGTGCACACAAAACGACCAAGTCACAAGTGTCTGATTCGATGAATTTTCACAGCAAGCACACCCATGTATTATGGCACAGATCAAAGAACAGAACTCGAGCAGCCCCCGCAGGACCTTCAGCCACCTCCTTTCCACCCTGTTTCTGAAATGTGTTTATTTTTAACTTTTGCTTATTTAAATGCGTATGTATGCGAGTGCAGGAATGCAAATGCCATGCCACGAGTGTGGAAGGCTTGGGACACTCAGGAACCAAACTCAGGTCATCAAGCCTGCTTGTTTTTGTTGAAATCTGCTGAGCCATTTTCCCTGGCCTCTTTATTTATTTGGGGGTGTGTGAGTCCATGCATATAGAAATCAGAGGGCAAATTTCCCAGGAGTCAGCGTTGTCCTTCTGCCTTCTCTTTGAGGAACGGTATCTCTTGATACTGATGCACTTTCAGCAGATTCTCTCCACCTGTAAAATCTTCTCTTAAGCCCCACCCCTCCAGGACTACATCTCCCAAGAGGCTGTGCTCTGAGGGCTCTCGGATTTAAGTAAGATTCAGGACTCGGTTAAGCCAGCCTGTTGCAGAGTGCCCTAGAGCGAGAGTCAGCAGAAACTGCCAGGAATTGGAGCCAGAGAAGGATCCCGAAGCCAGATTGAGGGTGGAAGTTGGAGGCCCAGCAACCAAGGAGGTTGACAAGATGCTAGTTATCTTGGGACTGTTCACGTCCTTCCTCTCGATCTTGTACCTGACAGCTCCATCCATCAGGTTTGTCTTAATCCAGGGATTCAACAATATTTTTAAAGCCCTGCAGTGGTAGCTGGCTGCGACTGCTAAAGGAGAATAAGGGACGGCGGCAAAGGAGAGATTAGAGCAGTAAAAGCAGTAAAGGAGGGGTTGTGGATGCCGCTGTGGAAAACGAGAAGGAAGCACCTGGGTGGGTGGAGGAGGGGCTGGTTTGAATTCTGATGCAAAGAGAAGGCTGAGGGGTTGGCTGTCCTGTATCTTTCCTTTGATCCTAATAGATTTCTCTGACACTTTCCCTTTCTTGTGTGACCCTAGGTAAGGTGGGGTGTCATGGAGGGGGGACGCATTGTTGAGGGACTCATTGTCAAGTACTAGACACACTGGGAAGGAAACAAACTCCCTTCTCTTGATACTTCTCTCAATAAATGCCTTGGAAATGGCCTGTTCAATGGGGATTTCTGGAGGTGCCAAAGAATGGGCTATTCTGAGTGGAGAATTAAAATTTTGCTAATGATTACAAAGGAGACAGGAATGGTTGTGCTTGCCTTTAATCTCAGTACTCTAGAGGCAGTTGGGCAGATCTCTGAGTTCAAGGCCAGCTTGGTCTACAGAGTGAGTTCCAGGACAGTAAGGGCTAAATAGAGAGACCCTGTCTTGAATACCCACCCCTAAAAAAGAAGGTTAGATAGACATACTAGGGTTAGAGTGTCAGAGTGTTATACCCCATCCTGACCACTTTTAGAAATGACTTGAACATCTTTGGGCTTCAGCTTTCTCCTTTGTAATATAGAAATAATGTTGAAATGGCTGAGGAGATTAATATAAATTACATATGGAAAGATAGCATGTATGGCCAGTAACTACCTTGGGAAAGATAGTGAGTGTAGAGACTGTCTACCCTGGGGTAGACAGTGAGTGTAGGAAGTGTCTGGCCTGGGATAGATATTAAGTAGAAAGTCGAGCCTGGGATAAACAGTGAGTATAGAAAGTGTCTAATGTGGGACAGACATTGAATGTAGAAAGTCTAGCCCAGGGTGGACAATGAGTGTAAAAAGTGTCTAACCTAAGAAAAGACAGAAAAAGCAGAAAGTGTCTAGCTCAGTGTCTGTCAGCCAGTGATGTTCAGGAAGTGTTCTCACCTCTCTGGTCTTGTTTTCAACAAGAAATTTTTCTCTGTATGCCAATGGCCTAAATAAAACCCTTAACACAATGGCAGGAAAAAGAAAGAAAAGTCTCTCAGGATGCTCTATTCTCTGAAACTGAAGAGACAGCTGAGGGGTGATAACTTACATGTGTCAGCCCAGATGGTGTTCACCAGTTCCTATGGTGACTATTGGAGCCACAGGGCTCAGGGCTATTGAGTCCACTAGTGTTCATCACCCATGTGTTTCCAATGTGGGTCAGCGGAGGAAGCTGAACTATAGGAATCTAGAGATTAGATTGAAATCTTTGTTACCTGATAAATGATGCCTTCATTGGCTCAGGAGCACTTTCTATGCTTGTTCCAGTGACTATTATCTGCTTCTGGACACATGACCTTCCCAACTATGCCCATGGGCTGGCTACTACTTTGCCCAATCAAACAGTGGACCATGCAAATTAACTTCTTTTTTGCTTGTTTTTCAAAACAGGGTTTCTCTGTGTAACCTTGGCTGTCCTGGCACTCTGTAGATCATGCTGTCCTGGAACTCAAAGAAATCCACCTGCCTCTGCCTCCCAAGTGTGGGATTAAAGGTGTGAGCCACCACTGCCAGCTCAAATTAACTTCTTTTATTTTCAGATTTTTAAAATTTGAATAAGAAACAAGATTGTTTTACATGACAATCCCAGTTCCATTCTCCCTCCTGTCCTTCCCTACCACCCCCCCAACTAAAACCCTACCTATCACATATCCTTTCTTCTATTCTTCCCCTGACTCAACCTTTCTGCTCCCTCATGACCTCTGCATCCTTCCTCTTCTTCCCTTCTCATTCTCATAGCTCCCTCCCCCCTCTTCCCATGTTCTCAATTTACTCAGGGGATCTTGACTCAAATTAACTTCTTAAGATGACAACGTTTTATGACTTCGATTTAAAGCCCTCCCTCTTTGGAGTTCCATGGCCTCATTTTATGCATCTCAGCATGAGAATGGGAAAATTGTGTCTGATTTTTGTTCATTTGGTGACAGGAAGTTCTTTGCTGGTGGAGTTTGTACAACGAATGTGCAGATTCCTGGGAAGGTAGTGGTTATCACAGGTGCCAACACAGGCATTGGCAAGGAGACAGCCAGAGAGCTTGCTCGAAGAGGTGAGTGTTTTCCCTGTCTCCTCAGAGCCACACCTCCTGCCCTCTTCAATGGGGTCCTGCCTGGATTTCCTTGTCTTTCTTCCTGGGCTTGGAGATTCTGATGGGGATTAGAGGAAACTGGAACCCAAGTCCAATGTGACACTAATTTACTCTGTCTTTCAGCATAGCTCCCTCCTTCCTGTGCCTTCCCTACTTCGGGGAGTAAAGAGAATGTTGTCTCTGTGTAATATTAGTCAAGTCCTTTATTCTAAGGTAGATACTAAGCAAAATTAAATATTAAGAGTGTAAAATGAGGCTTCTCAACTGCGCTGTGAGAACCCGGAAGTGGCAGTATGGCCACTCCCACTACCATAGGGACAGCTATGAGTGTGCTCTACCCATCAGCTGCAAGCTCACTTCCTGTACCTCTGCACACATTGCCCTTTCTACTTTGGCTCAAGGAGCACGAGTATACATTGCCTGTCGAGATGTACTGAAGGGAGAGTCTGCTGCTAGTGAAATCCGAGCAGATACCAAGAACTCCCAGGTGCTGGTGCGGAAACTGGACCTATCTGACACCAAATCCATTCGAGCCTTTGCTGAGGGCTTCCTGGCAGGTAAGGTTCCAGTGAGTAGCCAGGAAGGCAGGGAACTAAGTGTAGGGATGGCTGCCCCTCCCAGGACCATATATGGCCCTTTCATCATACCCATGATCCCACTGGACAGGTTCAGCCACATGAACCAGCAGGACAGGGAATTGGCAAAGGGATGGCAGGGGGACAAGCTGGGCAGGATCTTTATCAACGTTTTGCTCCACAGTGGGAATCTTGGAGGTTTCATCTCCATGTCTGAGCTTGTACCATGGCACAAGGTGTGGCCCTGATGCTGCTCTTTTCTTTCATCCAGAAAATCAACCTTCTGTGGTTACAGGCACTCGATGAATTTGTGCTATTGTCAAAATGTTCCAGTGTCTTGGGAAAGTACCAGCATCTACCAAGGACTACAGGTCCTTGAGGGACAAGATCTAGGTGTGCCTTGTTTTCCCAGGGCCCATCAATGTGTGTCTGGTCCAGAGTTGGTGGTTGGTACACATTGGTCATATAAATGAACAAATGGTGTCCGGGAAGGTTATCAGCAAGGAAAATCAGAAACCCAATGACAGTGGTGATTCTATAACATGCAGATGGGTCCAAATGGGGAATAGTTATTGACTTCTGAGGCAACATCTTATCTTAGAAGACAGGAGAAAGATAAGTGATAACCGTGCCTAGCAAAGAGTGTTCATAGGTGAAAGTCAGGGACAAACACTTGAGACAGTGACAGGTGGCTAGAAGATGCATTGTTAGTCACAGGATCTCCCTGATTGTACTCAACAGAGGAAAAGAAGCTCCATATTTTGATCAACAATGCAGGAGTGATGATGAGTCCATATTCTAAGACAGCAGATGGCTTTGAAACCCACTTGGGAGTCAACCACCTGGGTAAGTATCTTTGTGTGGCTAAAAAGTGTGTTATAACCCACCGTGTTCTCTGTAGGAAGATGGCCCTGCAAAATGCTCAGGATCTCCACTGATCCTCATAGAGTCTTGTAGGGTCCTCATGGGGTCCTCATGGGATTCCTCTACAAAAGACACATTGCTTGTTTGCCCTTTTCTAAGCAGTCAAAAATTGTGACTCTGTGTTTCTATTCAGAAGTCCCCATCTCAGAAGATACTAGGGGGGAAAGTATCATCCTTAAATGGTCTAGTGGCAATGCAGGGCTTGCTGGGCAGGGCCAACCTGTGAGTATTTAGGGATCTGGATTTGACAGGGGCAGTGACATCCAATGAGAACCAAAGGAAACCTTGTGCTGGTATGTGGGGGTGAGTGAACCTTGATAAGTTGATATACAAGATAGATTGGTGTTCAGAGTTCAAGATGAAGGTTCTAGTCAGGGGAGCATGTGGCATATCCCTAGGTCCTAGGCAAGTGTCCTTTTCCCTGACTACTATAGCCTTCTTTCTGTGTGAGTAGATGAGGACCCATAGTTATACAGAGAAATTAGAGGCTAGCAGGTGGGTATATAGACAGTAGATTAAATATCATTACTACCATCTAGCTTTGATCCCTGCTTTGGAGAATCAACTAACTTAGAGCAAGTGACCATTTAGCTTGGAGTGACTCATGGTATCAAACTTTATTCACACTCAGGGGACAGTGAGCTAATATGGAAGTCCTGTCATGGGTTTCCATACCCCGAGCCTAGAACCATTCTATCCTTGAGTTTTACTTTTGGATTTCTTTGTAGGCCATTTTCTTCTTACATACCTGCTTTTGGGGAGGCTGAAGGAGTCTGCACCTGCACGGGTGGTAAACCTATCCTCAGTGGCCCACCTTGGTGGCAAGATCCGTTTCCATGACCTCCAAGGGGAGAAACGCTACTGCCGTGGTTTTGCCTATTGCCACAGCAAGCTGGCCAATGTGCTCTTCACTCGAGAGCTGGCCAAGCGGACCCAAGGTACGTGTGGAGAAATAATAAAGTATTTTATTATTTAAATTATAATATCAGGATCCTTGGGCCAGCTTATAGGTTCATAGAAACTTCTGGAACCAGGCTGTTGAATGTACACATTTTAGTGGTATTCTGTATGGTCCAGAGAATGATCTATGATAGCTGTGCTTTTTTTTTTTTTTAAACTGAGTTTATTAAATATCTACAAAATAATAGAAGAATGAATAGCAGTTTAACAGATAGAAGCAGTGGGTAGATACTAAACATCAGATTGGGCACTAACAACATCTAGCAGAGGCAACTGGAGTCACCCAATTGAGAAAGCAAATAAAAGATGATTTCACCTCATCAGGGGCTTGCAGACATCGAGTGGAAATTAACTGAGGAAGCCCCATTGTGCGGTCAGTTGGAGTTCTGATTAAGAGTACTGGATCGAGCATAAAATTGCTTCCAAGCGAAAGATCAAATAGCTTCAGATAAACATAACATTATCAAAACAGGCACCTGCAACACCCAGCAGAAAGCAAGGTGAAATTGAAGCAGTCAGCTGGAATTCCCTGTTGAGCTTTTTCTCCATGGGTGAGCTTCCTGTGGCTGAACTTTGATTCCCTGTTCCTGCTCCAGGCATTTTAATGTTACAGGATAGATAATAGTAACCTTGGCTGGAAACACTAGCTGTTTTCAAGAACACATTTGTAACACTCTCAGCTGCTTGCAATTTTTCACTTGTCCTGTTGCAGAGTCAGGGACCATCTTGACCTAAGAAAGGACGGGGTGGTGGGATTGGAAGACATTTGACATAAATATGCTTGAGTCTGAAGGGGGGCAACCCTGTTTCCAGAGTTAGCTTCTCAGTGAGCTCAAACAGAACATAAAAATTTACCAGTACACGCTGGGTGGTGGTGGCGCTGGCCTTTAATCCCAGCACTCAGGAGGCAGAGGCAGGCGGATCTCTGTGAGTTCGAGACCAGCCTGCTCTACAAGGGCTAGTTCCAGGACAGCCTCCAAAGACAAAGAGAAACCCTGTCTGGAAAAACCAAAAAAAAAAAAAAAAAAAAAAACCCAAAATTTACCAGTACAATGTACATACAAGAAGGAACTTGGTACGCTGAGGAGGAGGCTACTATCAGAATGGAATCACAGTCCCATCAGAAGCACCATACTTAAGAGACATTGGAACTTTATAGAGTTGCTTTATATTTGTTGCCTTTTTGCCTCCTATTATTTTGTTTTGTTTTTACAACAACCCTTTGTAACAGTCAGAATGGGTGTTGTTATTCCTATTTTGTAGGTCAGATTTGAAATCCATGGAAATGGCTAGCTCAAGATCATATGACAAATGGAGTCATCAGACTGTACCTCAGGGATTACTTCTGTAGTTTGTAAAGGAGCCAGAATTGGAGTCCTTCCTCCTGTGTACCTTTCTCTGAGCTCCAAAGGGGTCTTTGTCTTCCCCCGGGAGATAGGGCTGGATTCCGGGCTCCTGGGTTTGAGTTCTTGCCCGTCCACATACTATGCTTGTGTATGTGTAGACATGTTCCATGAACTTCCCCAACTGCCTCCTCAGCTATGAAACGAGGCCTTAATCCTTAATAATTCTGCTCTTCCCTGGGGTCTGGATAGTCACTGAGTCTAGGGGACTGTTTGCTATTGTGAATCATTCAGAATTTGGGAAGAATGATCTGTATCAGAACACCCAAGCAGAAGGATAGGATAATCATGGCAATAAATAGTAATAACAGGGAGCTTTGTGCACCAGGCATGGAATAAGCCCCCAAATGTTCTTATGACATAAGCATTTTTATTTTCCTCCATCTACCAATGAATAGAAAGGCATGGCTGTATTAAGGAATTTGTTCTAGTACGTTTCCTAGCTGAAACAGTCCTCACCAAGAATCTAACAATGGGATTCATACTCTTTACTCCCTATGGGGCACAGACCTTGATCCACAGCCTACTAGATAGGACCTTGAGCAATTTATTTAGTGATTCTGTGTCTCATTTTCATCTGCTTCACATGGCATCTTACTGTTACCTATGACATAAACCTCTTTTAAGAACTGAGGCATGACTAGCCTCTGTCCCCTGCTCTCCAAGTCTCCAGTCTGCCTCTGATTAGTTGAGTAAGAAGCCCTATTCCAAAAAGAAGAAGGAGAAAGGCAGCACAGAATTGTCTGACCTTGGTGTGATACCTCTGCTGGGCAGAGCTGGTGTGAGAGGAAGTGACAACCTCCCACCATCAGATGATCAAGAGTTTTGGCCAGGTCTTTGGAGAAGGTCTGAGGTAGTGAGGAGCCAGGTGAGAAGCACAGACTCTAGATTGAAATAGACTAATAAGGCCCTTGGCCCATAACTCTCCCACACAGTGTTCTGCAGGTCAGTTGAGGATGATATTTCTCTGACAAGCCACAGGGCTACCCTTCTCAACCAGTCAAGCCTTCATTTACAACCAAATTTATCATCCAAATATTGAAAGTAATGATATCATTTGCCTCTGTATTCTGAGGTTACAGCAGTCTCCTGCTTGAATTATTTCCTAAGTTACCTTATCTGTTTTGTCCATGGCTAAGTGATCCGAACTTGTCTGTCTCCCTTGTGCCAGAGATTTCATAAATCTACCAAACAGACAGTCCTGCAGATGAAAGCACATCCCAGTAACAGATGCTAGAAGAGTGCCATGAAATGTTGCCTTGAACTCAGAAGAACCTGCATTGTAGATGGAATGAAGTCTAAATTGCTGATCCTGTGTTGATTTTCTTATCCAGCTGCTCCCCTGTCAGACCTCACCTTTATTTTATTTTCTTCCAACTTTGGACAATAACTACTTTCTGAGATAGTACAAATTGTCCAAGATTGCTGAGATTTTTTTTAATAGAACATATGTAGTATGTGGCCAATATCTTCACTTTAACTTGGGTGTGAGAGATACTCTGCTGTCACATCAAAGGAAGAAACAATATTCTAGCTTCATCTGTTCTTGTTTAAGGCAGCGTCCACTGTTAGAGATATACTTTATGTGCATAACTGATATGGCTGGAGAGTCAGTATTGAATTTATAGCATCATCAGAAGTGAAAATGTCATATGTTACATGTGTCAGAAAAGGAATGGCCTGCTCTTTACAGAGTAGAGATTGAAAATCAAACACCCTTTGCATTCCAAATTAGCATCTCAAAACTTTTGTAGTTTTCATTTAAATCACCAGGAGACTTGGAGTTATTAGTTAGACCATCTTCCAGCCTACAGTTTAATATCTCACTGAATAACTGAATAAGCCATTAGTGGCTGATTGATCCAATGATAACTCTGCTCGTAACTGATTTATTTTCCTTCAGTGAGTTGTATAAACAAAACAAAACAAAAAACTAAAAAGAAATGAAACAACACAGGGAAAGCCCTTGCATGTACGGAAGTCATGTTGGGGACATCTTAATGTCCTATAATTCCCACCAACACCCCTCCATCCACACCTTATAAATGTGCTTTCCCAACTAGCCTCTACCCCCAACCTTTAAAACAGCTCCTCCCATAGAAATGGCAAGGATACTGCTATTAATGATTAATACTACTATTTCCCACATGTTTTCAATAGTAGTCTGTAAGCCTCCATATAAGATAGCATTGAAATAGGACTCTTCTTTTGGAGCATAGAAAGCTGAGAAGGCTATACAGATCTTTCTCGAGGAGATCAATTCATTACTGGGCACAGTGAGTAGAACCTTTTGAACCTTAGAGGGTTTCTCAAGTCCCTTCTTTTCATTTGGGTATTTTGCTGCAGGGCTCAAGAGTATCCTTGGTCTTACTGTGTTCTCTTTGTCCTAGGAACGGGGGTCACTGCCTATGTGGTACACCCAGGTATCGTCATGTCTGAGATCGTCAGGCACTCCTTCCTGCTATGTTTGTTGTGGAGGCTTTTCTCACCCTTTTTCAAGTCCACCCGGCAGGGAGCTCAGACCAGTCTGCACTGCGCACTGGCGGAGGGCCTGGAGCCCCTAAGCGGCAAGTACTTCAGGTATGGTTGGCAGTACAGGGTGTGTCCACTACTGTGTGCCTGTGAATCACAGCTTTGCACTGGTCAGACCCTTTGTGCCCAATCATGGAATCCAGGCTTGAGTCAGCTCTGCAAACAGATTGCTGTGAGTTTTCCAAAGAAACTTATGTTACAAAGAATTGCTTTGGTGGTACTCTTTTATTTCAGTGTGCCATGTTTCTGTGAGCACCGTTGCTTTATGAAAGCTGTTAAAGGCTTTCCCTGTTGGTTATGCTACATAACAAGAGTTTTAGCGGGCCCTCTGGATTTTCTTTAAAGATCAGCTGATCTGACATTTGAGTTCTTTGAAATCACTTTGGCATAAAGTGCTGGGGGGAGATCACGTCTGCTCAGTGTGAATCTTCACTTCAGTGTCGTCATGATTGGCCTTGCCTGTTGCTATGTATGAAGAGAAATTTGAATACCACATGTAAACAGAGCTCTATGTACAGTCAGAGTTTCCAAATAAGAAGTCCAAGATAGGGCTGGCGAGATGGCTCAGAGGTTAAGAACACTGACTGCTTTTCCAGAGGTCCTGAGTTCAATTCCCAGCAACCACATGGTGGCTCACAACCATCTGTAATGAGATCTAGTGCCCTCTTCTGGTATGCAGATATATACATAATAAATAAATAAATAAAGCCTTAAAAAAAAGAAAAAGTCCAAGATAAAATCTCCTTCCCTTCCCTTTCCTTGACTTAATCCGGCCCAGTCTGGTCCACTGTCCATTGTTAAGCAATGCGCCATTTGTTAAGTGGAACACTGGGAGTAAGTTTAGTGTCTGCAGTAGGGGAATGGATGAATGGCAGCAGCCAATGTAGCTTGAACTCTTGGCATGTGTTTGACCTTCATCTAAGTGTGTTCAGTGTATTAGTTCATACAGTCATCTCAGCTGGCCCCAAATTCAAGAGTTCCAACTGCCTCCCAAGTGCTGGGATTAGAAGAGTGTCCACCACAGCCAGCTCTTGATTTAGTTCGGAGACAGTTTCTCACTATGAAGTCCAGTCTGGCCTCAAACTTAACGATTGTTCTGTCTCAATCTCCTGAGTGCTGGGATTACAGCTATGTCCCAGCATGCCTTGTTTCTTTTTCTCTTTTAAATATGGCCACTAGAAAATCTGAATTATATATGTTGCTCATAATTTTGGCTTGCATCCTTTTTAGGTGTTGTTGTTTTATTTTGGGGGGACAAGGTCTCTCTATGTAGTCCTGGTTGTCCTGGAACTCACTATGTAGACCACTAGCTTGTCCAACTCACATAGCTCACCTCTGCTTCCTGAGTGCTGGGATTAACGGTGTGTACACCACTATGCCTAGCACACAGCCAGTTTCTATTGAACAAATCTACCCCACAATCTGAGCATTTACATTACTGACTTATGAATGTGACAGATATTACATAGTCATTTAATATGATTCTGGATAACATTTAATTAACAAGGGATTTTCATAATACAATATGAGAAAACAAATAAATAAACAAAAAACCTAGAATACAAAACTGTAGGGGCTGGAGACATGCCCCAGCGGCTAAGAATTCTCTTTCTGCTCTTGCAGAGGACCCCAGTTCAGGTCTCAGCACTGAGTGTCTCATGCTGCCTGTAATGTCAGCTCCAGGGGGTCTGATGTTCTCTTCTTGCCTCCCTAGGCACTCACTCATATGCACAGGCTCTCACACAGACACATGTGGATACATATAATGAAAAATAAAATCTTTTAAAATGGTCTTTCAAGACAAGGTTTCTCTGTGTAACAGTCCTGACTGTCCTGGAGGTCACTCTGTAGACCAGGCTGGCCTCGAACTCACAGAGATCCACCTGCTTCTGCCTCCCAAGTGCTGGGGTTAAAGGTGTGTGCCCATCCAAAATAAAAATCTTTTTAAAAACAACCATGTAAACATCTGTTTCTAATACATAGTGAATATTCTAGAAAGACTAGTCTGTGGATGTTACTTGTAGGGAGTTGAGGAAGAGTCAGGCAAGATGTAAAATAGGATTGCAACTTCTTATTCTAGATGTTTCCTTATTATTTAAAATGTTTTGGAGGGTCATACATATATTTGCTATTTATATAACTAAAATATATTTTAACAACTAAAAGACTTCTTCCCAAAAGTAAATACAGCATGATCCCACTTTTATGTAAAAGTAAAGATACACATAAATTTATGTATATCTATATATAAGCAAGAAGATTGGGGGAAAAAGTCCAGCCAAATGATAGGCTTTTATTTTTATCAGAATTATAGTTTCCAAAAATAATACAGATGTGTCATAATTATAAAAGCTAGAACTCTAGTGGGGTGGTATATCTCTTTTCCATTATCCTTCCCATCCTTGGTCCCTCTGCTCATTCTAAAACAGGACAGTGCTTAAGTAGGTTTCACTGGGCACAAGTGACTCTGGATGGAATTCAGAGTTTCTCTAAATTTAGTAAGAAAGTCATTGGGGTATTATCTATGACTTTGCTATCATAAGGTTACAGATATTTTCATGTCACATTGAATTATTGAAGATATTTCAAAATGCCTCTTTGAAAGCCGGGCCTGGTCTACAAGAGCTAGTTCCAGAGCAGCCTCCAAAGCCACAGAGAAACCCTGTCTGGAAAAAAAAAAAAAAAAAAAAAAAAAAAAAAAAAGCCTCTTTGGCTCAAAATTACTTTGAAATAGTTGGGTGTTGGTTCTGGTATTGCATCTTGTTATAGGCCATATTAGCAAAAAGCCTATGTATTACTATTTCAAAGTTTGCTTACATTTATATATATATATATATATATATATATATATATGTTTATATTTTTTAAGATTTTAAAATTTATGTGTGTCTGTGTGAGTGTATGAGGGGTTCATGGAGGCCAGAGAGGATGCTGAATCCTCTGGATCTGGAGTTTCAGATGCTGGTGAGCAGCCTGACATGGTGCCGGGAAGCAAACCTGGGTCCTCTGGAAGAGCCCTTGGAAGAGCTAAATATTCTTAGCTACCAACTCATCTCTCCTGCCCCCACATTTTGGTTTTTCAAGGCCTAATTGTAGCTCAGGATAGCCTCAAAGTCACTCTGTAGCCAAGGATGACCTTAAACTTCTGATCTTCCTGCCTCTGCTTCCCAAATCCATTTAGGATTACTTAGGATTATTTAGGCTGACCACTACACCTGACCCCAAAATACTTAAGAATTCATTTCAATGTAGTTTCTTCAAGTTCAGTGCATATGTTTTATATAATTAGAAATCTATTCTGAGAAATGTGCCCCGAGATTGCCAGTTTTCATTCTAATGTCCACTCTCTGTGTCCGCTAGTGACTGCAAGAGGACCTGGGTGTCCCCAAGGGCCCGGGATAAGAAAACAGCTGAGCGTCTGTGGAATGTCAGTTGTGAACTTCTAGGAATCCAGTGGGAATAGCCAGCCGGAAGAACATGGCCTTTTTGGGGCCCAATCCACGCCGTAGTGAAAGAGGACCAAAGAGAAGGTCTACCAGAAAGGATTATCTCCTGGCCTGCTGCTGTGACTCCTGCCTCCTCAGAACCTTCTAGAACCCTTTATACATACAATGTTCTTGTGAGGCAGGGCCACAGTACAGAGTGGCATTCACACCTACAGACCATTCTGCTCAAAGACTTAGAGAACCCACAACCCTCTGGGGTAAAAGGTCTGGACATGGCGGGGGAGGGGGTGGGGGGGAGGTCGAGGAACCTAGGGAATTGGGTCAGTTTCCTCACCAGCACCGTAAACACTCGCCTCCACGATCACAGGAGCACCAGCATCGCACATTTCTGTGAACGACAGCCTCAAACTCTAGAATGTCCTCTTTTCTCTTTGAAATGAAACGCTAGTCACTGAAGTCTGAACCAACTCAGGAAGAAGTAGCTCACTTTGGCCAAACTTCACTTTTTCCTTTGAGCACCCTGGAGCCATTGCATGAAGCTGGGCCTTCTCATTTTGCACCATGTAGATTTTTTTACCCCCTAAACCGTTCTCTTTACCTCAATTTTTAGAGAAATAAAGATTTGTGTTCATCTCATTGCCTTATTTATTTTCTCAGGGATAGATGGAAGAAAGGAAATGAGCTAGGAATTGAGTCATACGTCCCCTTACTGAGCCACTCGCACATACATCCAGAACTTTCTTAGAATACTGTGTCTGGGTACAAACTAAGATGGACAACCTAGGCATTCACTCAGGTTTCTCTCAGTGCCAGTGTTTTCTTATGAGAAGTGAGAGGCACAGCTTAAAATACAGAGCCATTTAGCTCCACCACAGATTATGAACCAGATAGATTTGACACAGAGACATAAGAAGAGTTTCAGGCCCCTACCAATCCATCTCCCTTAACTTATGGCTCTCAGTCCCTCTGGCTCCCCTGCCCTTCAGTGTTGTGGTCCTCATGACCTCCTTGCTGAAGGTCACCCAGAAAAGGTGGGCAGATGTGGCTAATTTTACAACCCACTGGCCTAAGAAGCCATGTTTATAGATCCCAGATCTGAGGCATCCACAGGGCATCTTGGTGATACTCTTTTCTTCAATACAACATAGCCTTTAGGTTTTTATTTGTATATATCAATTGTACAAAATAACAGGTTTATTTGTAACATTTTCACACATGTAAATCAAGTACTTGATGATGCTTATCCCCATTACCACACGTATCCTCTGGCTCCTGAAAGTAGACTTTAAAATCTTTCATTATTAACTCTGTCTCTGTCTCTCTTTGTGTGTGTGTGTGTGTGTGTGTGTGTGTGTGTGTGTGTGTGTGTATGTGTGTGTGTGTGAGTGCATGTTGTAATTTTAAAAAGTGTCGCTCGAGAGAAAGATGTCATTTGACAGAGCTCATGCGGAGGGGTTTTTTATTGGGGGAAAGTGAATGGGAAAAGGGGGCAGGGGAGCAGGAGACTGGCCTCTGGGAACAGGAGCAGCAGAAAAGAAAAGAGAGACACAGAGAGAGACAGAGACAGAGAATCAGAGAGAGAGGAGCATGTGAGGTGGGCAGGGCCCTTTTAAAAGGGAACACAGTAAATAGGCACAGGTGGTGCTCTTAGTGGCTGCAGCTGAGGGCGGCATATCCTGTCATAATCCCAAGGACAGGGCAGTACAGTTGCCTGAATACTAACACATGTGAGTGTGAGTGTGTGTGTGTGTGTAAAGATTCACACGTGAGTGCTAAGCACATCTGCCAGGCCTAAGAGATCTAAAAGATGCAGTGGGAATAGTGATTCAGGGGACAAACTTGAGGTGGGGTTTACATATATGTTAGAGGGGGTTAGATAGAGGCACAAGGGAGCAAAGCCGCCTGTGGGCTGCAAGAAGCTAGCTAGCTAGCTGCTCTGGCTCCACCGCCCAGGGCATCATACTCATACTGAAGTCAGCATTGGATGCTGTAATGGAAACTATGTTTGTAAATTGTCATATGCTGTTTGAGTTTAAAGCTGGCTCTGGACACAAAGTAGTTCTCCCTCCATTTCAGACCCAGTCATATTTGTCTCAAAGTGTCCCCTAAAACTCATGGTCCAGGACGGGCTGGCCTTGTGTCAAGGAGAAAGGAGGTCAGCAAAACAACCTGAGTGAAAACATGAAGCTCCCGAGAGCAGGAGGGTGAGTCAGCTGGTCAAACACTGTGCCCTTTTAGGAACAGCTGGAAGGTTATCACATAATATCAAAATGCTTGTGGGGACAGCTCATTGGAAGTCTCACCTGAAAGGAAGGTGTTCTCGTTATAAATCAGGGACTCTGGCTGGCGGTTTTCTTGGGCTTCTTGAGCTGCTCTGCCAGATGATGGAAGAGCCAAATCTGATGTTCTGCCATGCTATTTGTCTTTTTACTTTTTGTTTGCTCTATATTTAACATACTCCATTGAAACGGAATCATTCTCTAATGTAGCAGATGCCAGACTCTGTCATTTCCCCTGCTGTTCCTGTGCTCCCTTGAGCCATAGTCTCCCTCAGCAACAAGCCTCCAGGCTACATACCACCTCTCTACAGCTTCTTCCCAGCATCCAAAGCGTTATCTAATGTTCTGGCTAGACAAGGAAGAAGTGTCAGCTTTGACTTTTTTCCAGATGACATTTTCCTAACTAATAATTGAGCAACCCAAAGCCTTGGTCACATATCAATAATGCTGTTATCAGTGGTGGAGAATCGCTCAGGAGTAACTGTTGTCCCTACTTCTTTCCAACTGTTCCAGTTCTCTTGCCACCATTATTCTTGGATCCTCTGAAACTCTGACACCTTTAGCTAAGCCAGCCCAGTAGTACAAAATCTCTTTCCTTTAGCTTGTTTGATAGACTATCCTAGATTTCTTTAAAATAACACTGCTGGACTGTGGTGGTTCACACCTTTAATCCCAGCTCTTGGGAGGCAGAGGCATCGGATCTCTGTGAGTTTGAGGCCAGCTTGGTCTATATACAGAGTGAGTTCCAGGATAGCCAAGACTATACAGAGAAACACTGTTTTGGAAAAAAACACACACACATACACATACAAAAACCCAAAAAACCCTAAAACAAAATAAAAAACAAAAAACACCTGGAAAAGTAAGAGAAAAGGAATCTGAAGAGACATATACAAGTGAGAAAGCACATCAGTGTGCAGAAATGATGACCGATGGCCACAGATGATATTTGCTGCCACCAGGATCAAGTCTAACTTGGCTCTGCATCCAGTGCCGCCAAGCATTCCAAGCCCTAGAGAACAGACCTTGTGTATTTATCCTTTTCTAGTTATAAGACACACATATACTTTGAAGTATAAATGTAAAAAGTGAGGCATAGAGCCAGGCATTGGTGGTGCACAGGCCTTTAACCCCAGCACTCAGGAGGCAGAGGCTGGTGGATCTCTGTGAGTTCAAGGCCAGTCTGGTCTATGGCTTGGGTTCCAGGACAACCAAGTCTATACAGAGAAACCCTGTCTCAAAAAACGAAACACAACACAAAACAAACAAAAAAAGTGAAGCATAGGAAGAAATTGTTTTTTTGTGTTGCATGCTGTCATGGCTGAATGTGATGCCTGAATCAGCTAACAGCACCTTGAGTCCATGAGTGGAGCTGAGCTGGCCCAACAATGAAGCTGACATGCTGAGACTGGTAGAGGACAGGAGGGGAAGAACTCAGGCTAGTGACCAGGCAGCAGGGAGTCACTGAACTAACCAAGTCTTAAGCTGTCTTCCCCTTGAGACTTCCTGTTACATGAAAGTAAGTTGCCCTCACTGTTTAAGTTTGTCCCGATCAAGTGCCATTGAATTGAATGATAGAACTTTTCTACTATTCAGCCATTTTAATCTATTGCTAGTCTAAAGCAGACATTTCTCAGGCTTTTTTCAGAGAGAGAGAGAGAGAGAGAGAGAGAGAGAGAGAGAGAGAGAGAGAGAGACTCAATATGTATCCCAGACTGGCTTGGAGCTTGCTACATGGACCAGGCTTGAACTTGCCATCCTTCTGGGATTACCAGTATTTGCCACCATACCTGGCTGCCTGGCCTACTTTCAAGATTCTTAATTTCTTCATCTTCCAATGACACCTGCTTTGCTTCAGTATATTTTTCTTCATCTCCAGGTCTTGTCACTGTCAGATAATTTCAGTATTTATGTGGTTAACTGATTATTAGAAGTGAACATTCTAATACAGAGATTTTTATTTTTTGAGACAGGGTTTGTCTGTGTAGCCTTAGCTGTCCTGGAACTCACTGGGTAGACCAGGCTGAGCTTGAACTCACAGAGATCTACTTGCGTCTGCCTCCCAAGTGATGGGATTAAAGTTGTGTGCTACCATTGCCCAGCCTAATTGAGACTCTTTTTGTGTTTTTGTTTATGTTTTTGAAGACAGGGTTTCTCTCTCTGGAAGCAGTCCTGGAACCAGCTCTTGTAGACCAGGCTGGCCTCAAACTCACAGAGATCCACCTACCTCTGCCTCCTGGGTGCTGGGATTAAAGGCGTGTGCCACCAAAGCCGGGCTAGGAAATGACTTCTATATTTGGTGTTTTGGTAAATAAACTATTTCTACCTACATATAAATAGTTAATTAATTTCACAGAGACAAAGAGTCCAATGGAGGTGTTACCAGGGGATGGGGGGATTTTTGTGAGACATTGCCCATTCCACAGTGGGCTCTTTGGTGATGTATTTGCCAGAGACCTACCTATGCTTCTTTTAATATACCAAGTAAACTCATTGGTTCACCAAACTACACTTGAGTGATTTCTTTGCTCTGTCATCAGTACCCTAGGCCAGGTGAATATGCAACATAGAAGAGAGGGTTAGACCTGTTGTGCCTGAGTCATAAGGATCCCCAAAGAGACAAGGGAGACAGACCACTGATGCAAATGCACAAGGTTTATTAAATTGTCTATCCTACCATGGGAAGGACCCCATCTAGCAAGCTGACACAGCAGCCTCCAGAGGGGGTGAAGCTCCCTGTCTACTGCTAGGTTTTAAAGACAAAAGTTACAGGATTTCATCAGTAGGCATGGGTTGGTTTCTTATTGGTTGACATTTGGGAACAATCAAGAAAATTTCTCAAAGTCATATTTTGGCATGAAATACCTGTGTACCAGGTATTCTCATTGGTCAGGGCTGAGAGGGGACATTCTGTGGTCTCTATGGCTTTGTCTTGTAACTTGCAGGTGGCCTGTTGTAC